CCAGCAGCAGCAGCAGCAGCAGCAGGAGAGATGCTGGGGAGATGGGTGTTCGTTCTATAGGTTGTTTGTCTCCTCCTTATTCTTCTGCTGATGCTGCTGCTGATATTTTGTCTGCCTTTGATCCTCCTGCTGCTGCTGCTGCAGCACCGCCAACTGCAGCAGCAAGGCTCTGGGGCCCCCGCGAGCCCCTCAGCAGCCCGGGGGCCCCCCTTGACGCCATGGGGGGCCCCCTCTCCTCGTCTGCTGCTGCTGTGCAGGGGGGCCCCCCCTCTTCATCGCCTGCTGCTGCTATGCTGGGGGGGAGGCCCTCGTCCCCTGCTGCTGCTGCTGCTGCTGCTGCTGCTGCTGCTGGGGGGCCCCGTTCGTTGTCTGCTGCTGTTAAGAGTCTGCAGCAGCTTGCTGCTGCTACCCCGTTGAGGGGAGAAGACATCGGCGGTGATATTCGCTTTATGAAACTAATTGCTGCAATAGACTGGGGACTGCAGCAGCAAGTGCTGCTCATGGCCAGCAGCAGCAGCAGCAGCAGNTAATTGCTGCAATAGACTGGGGACTGCAGCAGCAAGTGCTGCTCATGGCCAGCAGCAGCAGCAGCAGCAGCAGCAGCAGCAGCAGCAGCAGCAGCAGCAGTGTGATAAGTATATCTGAGATGTGTGCAATAGTATCTTCTTTATCTTATTTAAAAATAAAGAGAGGCACAGACAACGTGCTGCGGTCTCTGGTGCTGCTGGGCATGAGGAGAGCAGCAGAGTTTAGTGCTGCTGCAGCAGCAGCATTTCTGCTGCATCTTGCTGCAGCAGCAACAGCAACATATAACCCTATACAAAGAGCAACACTCAACGCATTCAGGGGACCCTGGGCTAGCAAGTTTATTCTAGCTGCTAATCAAACTGCTGCTGCTGCTGCTGCTGGTGGTGGTGGCAGCAGCAACAGCAGCAGCAGCAGTACTAGCAGCAGCAGCAGCAGCAGCAGCAGCATAGAAAAAAACACGCATTCAGCTGTTGATCTGTGTCGTTTGCTGCTGCTGCTGCTGCCGCTGTTCTTATCTTGCGATGCACTCGGAGAAGAAATGCCCAAATGCATGCACACACTCGTCAGCAGCGGGCTCTGGGCAGCAGCAGCAGCAGCAGCAGCAGCAGCAGCAGCAGCAGGAGATACTGCAGCAGCAGCAGCAGCAGCAGCAGGAGAAACTGCAGCAGTAGCAGCTGGAGGAGGAGCAGCAGCAGGAGCTGGAGCAGCAGCAGGAGGAGCCAGCAAGTTAAGAGAGCCTGCTGCTGCTGCAGCAGCTGCAGCAGCATCAACAGCAGCAGCAGCAGCAACAGCAGCAGCAGGAGAAGCAGCAGCAGGGTTAATCAAGCCAGGAGAGTTTGCTGCTGCTGCTGTTGCTGCT